GGGACGGGGACCCCCAGTTCCCTGCCCCTGGCGTGGCACTTCTTCACGGCATGGTGGCGGGTGGTGGGCAGCAGCCGGGGGGCTGCAAATCTAGGTGAGGGGCAGCGAATCTGGGCAGGGTCCTCGCCAGTGGGGGGGAGGGGGCTCCATAGGGCACCAAGGGCTTGATTTGGTGCCCCAACGCTGCCGCAGCCTGGGAGGGGCCAATGGCCGGGGGGGGGGCTCCAAAATACGTGGACAGGTGCCCTCACATGCACAGACTGGTGTGCACACGTGTCCACATGCACACGCATGCACATCTCCCACAGCTGCAGAAAGACAAAGGCCCCCCCCCCCAGTGCATGGGGTGAAGCCTGAGCTCTCCCAAGCACCGTGACCTACCAGCACGTGGCAAAATCCCCCTGCTACAACCGTGCCTGTGCCCGCCCTGGAGGTGACACATGCCCAGCCGATGCCATCGCATGGGGCTGTACCCTCCGACTCACCCACACGCTCCCGGGGACCCCAGCCCAGCCCCCGGTGGGGGGTGGGGGGCCAGGCTCCGTGCCTGCACCCCCCGCCCAGCCACAGGGATGGGACCGCTGTCGCATGGTGGGCGGTGGAGCCGGGACCCCCTGTGCCGGCCATGCCCTGGGCGGGCTGTCCCTGGCCCTGCACCCGTGCCCCTGGGAGGTGCTGCAGCGATGAAGGAGGGGCCGGTGCAGGGGCGATGGGGGGGCGCCGTGCAGCCAGCACGGGGTGCAGGAGCCCCCGGCCCCCATCTGCCTCCAGCTCCAGCGCCTGCTGCCCCTTCCCACAGGCATCAGCCAAAGTAGGGGTTGTCGTGCTGGAAGTTGTAGTCGGGGCAGACCTTCTGGACCAGCTTGTAGTCGATGCTGAGGAAGGAGATGAAGATGCAGATGACCTTGAAGGGCTTGGCGCAGAGCCAGGCAGCGTGGCTCTGCATGTGCTCGGTGAAGCACACCTTGGAGGGGTCATACAGGCAGGGCTTGTTCTTCCGTGCCCGGTTGGTCTTCTCGTACTCCACGTGACAGTTGAGGGCCTTGGCTGGGCGC